GGGGCGGACTGACAACTCATGGGGTCCCCGACAATAGGGGATCATGGGGTCCCTGTGTCCTTGCCCACACTCAAAGCACACCCAAAAAAGCCTATAAAAAAGGTACCAGGGGCATTTCATGGGGCCCCCTACTGACCCCAGGCCCTCGGGCAGTGCCCGAGTGCTCCAATGGTCAGCCCACCCCTGGTTAGGGGTCTCCTGATGGCCACAATCACTTGCTGCAGCCAGCAAATGAAACACTGATCCTCAGTGCTCTCAGGATCCAGGTCCCCTCATATATAGCATTGCACAGAATATGATGGCAACAGCAGTCTCTGATCAGCACTCTTTTCCTGGGCAGCATAGCATCAAATGGTTCCAGCAAACTCTGGCCACACAACACTGTTCCCCAGTCACTGCAACCTTGTGGTGCTCTATCTCATCTTCAGTCCCTATCTCCTTGTTGCATTAACCAGTCACCTCCATGATTGAATCCAACCCAGCAAAAATGACTGCTCCATGCACTGGAAACACTCCATAGATAATCATTGTAAAGTTGTCTCCTCAAAGAGTAAAAGGAGAAGTGTGGGATTATAGGGGACCCACTGTAAGAGCAGATTTTTTTCCTGGGCTTTCAAATACTGTTTATAAATTACTCTCAGCCAGATAAGACATTAGATGCATGATAACTACATTTTTAAAAAAATGTTACTAAGAGTATTTTAGTACAACACATTGTCGAGAATTTTGCTGTTCAAGGTGTGCGTACAAGCTCATACAGGGAACTGTAGTTGGGTACAAAGGTCAGATAGACAACTCAAACAGATAATAGCGTAGTGACATATAAATATATGAAATATATCATAAAGTATAGATTATATCTCAATGAAACCTTTTACCGTATTGTCCCCTGGAGTAAGGGAGGAGTTTGGTGAACATATTGTTGACTGCTTTACCTACAAACAAACGGGAAAATAAAAGCACAATTATTACCAATATATAAAATTCCATGGCACGAGGGCATGCTGTAAAATAGAGCAGTATGGTGATGGCTGTAAGATGTGCCACGGAACATCATGTAGTTCAGGCGTTGAAACCTATCATGAAACTAAGTTACTGCTAAACTAATCCTCACAATCAGAGGATGGTGATCTTAATAAATTGACAAGCTTCAAACCACCCGCTTGCAAAACATTTTTTTCAAATGATGAGCTACCTCTTATATGCTGGAGTATGAAATGTGTGCTAAGAAAAAAATATGTTTTTGCCCTCGGCAGCTTACTTCCTTGCTTCATATTCTTATTTGAAAGCTAACTTGTTTCTATGGGCACCACAACATGTCCGTGTTTGCTCATTTTTCATAAACCCCATAGTGTGAGCAAATATTACATCAATTCAGCTACTATAGTATGTCATGGAAGCATATTTATTTTTATTTATTGAATCTCCCAGCAAGGTGTAATTATTTTCCAACTGGATGATCAAGCTTTTTTTTAATGTAAAATGTTAATTAAAACTCTGACTATTGAAGTATAAAACATACACTCAATCGCAGCATGTGGGAGTTAATAGCTTTACAGTCATTTTCAAAGTAAAGTACATGTCTTCTCTGGTGCTTGTATACAATAACAATATAATGACACCTTAGCGAAATAGCAGTGCCACTCAACAAATACATTGTTCAAAAATGGAACTTCTGTGTAGGGAAATTAACTCTTTCAAAGGGGAGATTGATGTAGCACACTGTAACAATATAAACCAGCCTTGCTCAACAAGGGTTTCTCTGGAACCCTAGGGTTTCTAAAGAGGTTGCTGGGAGTTCCTTGACCAATTAGCAATTTCTGCTTCTCCTATGAGTAACCTCTGACAACAATGATCTTTTTAGCTATCTGTAAGGAGGGACTCTTCCCAATGACCACAAGTGTAAGGATCATATCTCCAGTGACCATAACACTAATGTACCAAGAACTGTGGTTAAAAGTAAATATTAGCAGTGGTTCCCTGAGACTGGAAAGTTATTTCAAGGGTGAATCAGTTAGCCTTGTCCTACATGTTAACATTTCTCTTGTTCATACCCATGGTGATATTTGAATTACAGTGGTATTTACAACCATTTGAGAAGGAAACAAGCCTGGGGTTTGAGTTTGTTACTTCTAGCAAAGTTCTGGATGGATTTCTAGTGTTTTCTCTAAAGACAGAATTTAGTACCTTAGTACTGATATTGTAGGGCCTCTTGAGCATGTCAGCCATGGCAAGATGAGACAACTTTTTGCAAGGGAGTTATTAATCGCAACTAGGAAAACAAACTTTTAACACTTATACTCCCACATTACAAATAAATTGTAAATACAAGTCAGATGACCTAACAGTGATGGAAATTTAAGGTGTGTGTTGGGGAAAAAAACACAAGAAAACAACAATTGTAATACATCTTCATAATACACGCATACTTACCCATGTTTTATCAGTTAAAAGACCCTTCAAGTATAGAAAAATGCATTACAAACTTTATATAGGGAGATGAAGGGAGAGGCAGAAAAGCAGGGCCAGCACGCTCCCGGAAGAGAAGATACAGTTGCAAGAAAAAAGTATGTGAACCCCTTGGGATTACGTGGAGTTTTGCATGAATTGGGCATAAAATGTGCTCTGAACGTCATCTAAGTCACAACAATAGAAGAACACAGTCTGCTGAACATAATACTACTCAAACATTAGATGTTGCCATGGTTTAATTGCACATAACATGTAAACATTCACCAGTGCAGGGAGGAAAAAGTATGTGAACCTTTGGACTTAATAACTGGTTGACCCTCCTTTGGCAGCAATAACCTCAACCAAAACGTTTCCTATAGTTGCAGATCAGAACTGCACAATGATCTGGAGTAATTTTGGACTGCTCCTCTTCACAAAACTGTTTCAGTGTAGCAATATTCTTGGGATGTCTGGTGTGAATCGCTCTGTTAAGGTCATGCCACAGCATTTCAATCGGGTTGAGGTCAGGACTCTGACTGGGCCACTCCAGAAGGCGTATTCTGTGCTGCTGCAGCCATTGTTTTGTTGAATTACTTGTATGCTTTGGGTCATTGTCCTGTTGCATCACCCATCCTCTGCGGAGCTTCAGTTGGCGGACAGATGGTCGTACGTTTTCCCGCAAAATGTCTTGATAAACTCTGGAATTCATTTTCCCATCAATGACAACAATCCGTCCAGGCCCTGAGGCAGCAAAGCAGCCCCAAACCATGATGCTCCCTCCGCCATGTTTTACAGTGGGGATGAGGTTTTGATGTTGGTGTGCTGTGCCTTTTTTTCTCCACACATAGTGTTGTGTGTTCTTCCCAAACAACTCAATCTTGGTTTCATCTGTCCACAGTATATTTTGCCAGTAGTGCTGTGGAACATCCAGGTGCTCTTTTACAAACTTCAAACTTGCTGCAATATTCTTTTCAGACAGCAATGGCTTCCTCCGTGGTGTCCTCCCATGTACTCCATTCTTGTTTAATGTTTTCCTTATTGTAGATGTGTCAACAAAAATGTTAGCATGTGCCAGAGATTTCAGTAGGTCTTTAGCTGACACTCTGGGATTCTTCTTTACCTCATGCAGCATTCTGCGCTGTGCTCTTGCAGTCATTTTTACAGGACGACCACGCCTAGGGAGAGTAGCAACAGTGCTAAACTTTCTCCATTTGTAGACAGTCTGTCTTACCGTGGACACATGAACATCAAGGCTTTTGGAGATACTTTTGTAACCCTTTCCAGCTTCATGCAAGTCAACAATTCTTGATTGTAGGTCTTCTGAGAGCTCTTTTCTGCGAGGCATGGTTCACATCAGATAGTGCTTCTTGAAACCAGTAAACCCAAAACAGGTGTGTGTTTTTTAAGGGCAGGACAGCTGTCAGCAACACATCCAATATCATCACACTGATTGGAGTCAAGGTTGGCTCACTCCTGGCTCCAATTAGCTCTGGGAGAAGTCATTAAGCTAGGGCCTCACACTTTTTCCTCCCTGCACTGTAAATGTTTACATGTTATGTGCAATAAAACCATGGCAACATGGTTTTGTTTGTGTAGTATTATGTTCAGCAGACTGTGTTCTTCTATTGTTGCGACTTAGATGACGTTCAGAGCACATTTTATGCCCAATTCATGCAAAACTCCACGTAATCCCAAGGGGTTCACATACTTTTTCTTGCAACTGTAGCTATAATGTGCTAGGTAATTGAATTGCTAGGGAATGTCAAACACAAGGCCCGTGGGCCAATCTGGCGCTCCAGGCGATTTCATGTAGCCATTTCATGTGTCCAACACTTTTGGGAGGTACTAGAGCCGGGCTAGATCGGTGAGATACGAGGAAGCTTTTGGAGGTGTCGGAGGGATGAGGGCTGTAGAGGGAGATGTGTGCGGAGGTGGGGGATGGGGGAGAGTGGTGCAGAAGTCAGAACTGAGGAGGAGGGGTGGAAGTAAGGTGTGGACAGCCTGTAAAAGTGAGCCGAATCCTGCACCCCTAAACCCTGCACTCTGTATGTAGTGCACTCCTCAACCCTGCACTCTGTACACAGGGCTCCATTGAACTCTTCCCTCTGTACATAGAGCATTCCTTAACTCTGTACATAGCGCACTACTGAACTCTGCACTCTGTATGTAGCACACTGCTGATCTCTGCATACAACCAGCCCTTTGAGGGCAAACATAATGCTAATGTGGCCCTCAGTGAAATTGAGTTTGACACCCCTGTGCTAGGGAATTAGTTTTTCTGGAGTAGTGAAATTTTCTACAATTTCAAAGGAACATTACAAGTGAATACAAAATAATTTATGGGTAGGGAAAATGTTGCAAATGACCTTTTGAACTTCTTGATATTTCTATGCTTTTACCTGCAATTTTTAAGCTGCTGATAAGGTCCCTTTAATTATGTTGTTGTTGTTTTTTTTTTTCTGAAATGTATTTATGTTAACTCCCAATGCTTGTTGCACAATGCAGTTACAAACCTAATTTAAATATGTAATTCTTGTTTTAACTTGTAGAATCTGTGCAGACACACACATCTTCACTCCCTCGTACCCTGGGTGAGTTACAGCTGTATCGTGTCCTGCAGAGAGCCAACTTATTGGGTTACTATGACACCTTCATCCAGCAGGGCGGCGATGATGTGCAACAGCTTTGTGAAGCTGGAGAAGATGAATTCCTGGAGATCATGTCTTTGGTTGGCATGGCAACAAAGCCTCTCCATGTCCGAAGATTACAGAAAGCCTTAAGAGACTGGGCTACTAATCCGGGACTGTTCAATCAGCCACCTTTGGGAAATGTCCCTCTGAGCACCAGCATACCTTTATTCAAGATATCTGAAACCATGGGAAGAGTTGGGAGACAATGTAATGGCATTATTAGTAATTCTGAAAGCCTGAACAAGACCATTGCAGGTTTTGGTGTCCCAGAGCAGCTGGAACAGCATGAGAAAAGATCACCTGTACACTTGGACAGCAGAACTTGGACAGTGCAGGTGTCTCCAGATCAAAATGAAGCAGATGACGATGATATGGATGATGATGAAGATGGAAGAGGAATGCAATATGGCTCAGGAGGTGAAAGGTTGGACCATGACATGGTACATGTGATATCGGACAGTGTGGAGAGGCTGATGAAAGGCTTGCCTCGTGGTGATATAGCTGAAGCACGATCCATGCTTAAAATAAATAAAAAACTGGGGAGGTCACTGGGCCATATCTTTCATATGGTAGATGGAGGGCCCAGAAAGGACAGGGAGATTAGAAGACACAGTGCTATATATGGAAGGAGTGACTCCAAGAGACGTGAAGGAAAGAGACTCACGCTGCATGAGGTTGGTGAAGCTGCACGCTTTGTTTTTGATGAAGGAAAATTTGAAAATAGTGCAGGCTTATTAAATAAGGCATAGAACAACTGTACAGTTAAACATAATTTAACTGTACTTAGCAAATCACAAATAAATTGGTATCTGATGTACAAAAAATAGATGGTTTCTGATGGGTTTCCAAAATTAGTTGTGTAGATTTGTTCTTTGCCTCTTCAAATAATTAATGGGTTAATCTATAAATCTTTTATTTTTCTAATACAGGCTTAAAAAAGAAATGAACTCTAACTACCTGGCAAAACACACATTTTAAATGTTTTTAATGTTTTTAATTAAATGTTTTTAATAATTGGCTTTGGAGTGTAAAAAGCATGCTTTTAAAGTTGATCTCTGAGAACTGTGAGGCTCCGTTCACACTTGAGCTGAGTGTCTTTGGTTATTTCAGGCACAGACAATTTGTTTAGCCAATGGAAGGAAAATGGCTAAACAGGAAAACAAGAAAAAAAGCACAAAAACAGTGTTTCATACATTCTGTAGACACTCCCATTGAAGTATGTTGGGGCCAAAGCACACAATCCTGCCCCAAAAGAAACTCATGAACTGTTTTGCGTGATGAGCTTCAAGTGACACTATGTTCAGGTGTGAATGGGTGTCAATGAATAAAATTAAAATCCTACTGTTGAACGATAAAACGCTTATGGTGAAGCTTCAAATCGCACTTCAAATCCCTCACTTGTGAATGGGGCCTTAAACATAAATGTTTACAAACTTTCTATCCAAAACCTTGAAATGAATAAAAAAAAATTCAACTTACATGCCTCTTTAATAGACTTTAGGATATTCAGTTCACACTAAAGTACATATCCTAAGTGAGCAATAAGAACACTTTATAACAAGCCCTTGTTCATTTCTGTATCTACGAATATAAGTATTGTTGGGAAATTAAAGGAGATCTATGGTCAGTGTGCATTTTTATTTTCATTCCAACAAGAGTAGGCTAGTAATAATGGTAATACAATGTGAAAATACTTTTGATTTTAAATGTTGCCCATAGATGCATCTTAAGTTTCAGAGTTAACAACATAATCACTGAAATCTAACTTTTTTATTTTATGTGAGAAGATTTCCAACCCTCTAATGTAAACATTCAGTGGATGTTTCTACTTAAAGTGGAGCTCCACCCAAAGGATTTGGGAACCTGAAATTGACAGGTACCCGCTCCCACTTCCGCTGAGATCACCAAGGTGATTGAAAGCGGAAATTGTCCTCCTCATAGTCTTCTGAGACATGTGACAGGTCCCAGAAGACTACGGGACCATTCAGAAAGTGCAGCGCTTCTTGCGCATGCTCAGTGGGTACCAGGCAGTTTTTGTAGCTGTTGACTTTTTTTTTTCCAGCTTGACTAGAACTCCACTTCAAGGCCAGGCACACAGACTGCAGGAAAGCCAGTAATCACACAACTCCCATTCAGGAAAGGAAGGGGCTAGTTAATATGACATATTTATCGGACCCTTCCTCCACTCTCCATTCTGAAGGATTCTATTGTGTGCATGCAGCTGCCGGTGGGAAGGAGAGGAGGGAAGCTGGCACTGCGGGGGCCCAGGCAACTGGGTGAATGAGATGTGCACAGGGAGGGTGATCGGCAACTGATCCTCTGTATGGCTCTCTCTGCAGCAGCTGAAAATCATAGGGAGGGAGAGGAGAAGAATCGAACTTTCAGATGCTGCAGAGAGAACCATACAGGGCATCGGTTCCAGTAATTGCCCCCCACTTTGCAGATCACCCTCCCTGCCCACATCCAATTCACCCAGCTGCTTGGGCCCCCCCTGCTGGGCCTGGACCCCATACAGGAGGACTGGTGGTACCCCCTTATCCATGGCTTAACTGCTTTAGGACCGCCCACAGTAGATTTACTGCTACAGGGCGTCCCCTGTGCGCAGGATCATGTATATATACGTGATTCTGAATTTCCAGGTAGGGTGCGTGCATGAAGCATGCGCATGCCCTAACTGCGCTGCCAATTGCGGCCCCGTGTGTCAATCACCGGGTCCAGGTCGGTGATTACCCGCCTGCGCCCGGTGATTACCGGCGATCACCGAAAGGGAGGAGCGGTGCATTGTTCAGCCATCCCGATCAGTGTGCTTTACAGTGAAGCATACACCCCCCCCGCCCTCTAGTAAAACACTCCCATCACACAGTTAACCCTTTGATTGCCTCTCATGTTAACTATATATATGGTGTAGCGCTGCTAAGACTTAAAAACATAATATTCAAAAATGCATATCTTATTGTGAACCAAAATAATTACTTATGCAATATAACATAAATATTAGGTGATTATATCACTCAGTGACTTCACTGGCTCCAAAAAGGCTCACTCCTACTTATCCTCCACGGACAGACACCAGTGTATATATGCTTATATACTCATAAGGTTATGGACCATGCAATAAGAACACAAAAGATCCTCCATAGTGTATTACCGTATATGACATTTATTATAGGCAAAAAACCGCCAGACCGGAAGTGCCGGAAATATCGGAAGTACGTCACCACGTTGCTATGTCTACCCGTTACGCTGCGCTTCACACAGCTTCGTGCGCGGCGTAACGCGTAGACATAGCAACGTGGTGACATACTTCCGGTATTTCCGGCACTTCCGGTTCGGCGCCATCTTGGCACTCCAGAGACCCAGCAGTACACCCATGGATAGTGTCACTAATGCTCTGTATTTTTCCAGCTAAATGTGAGTTTGCACTTGGCGGTTTTTTGCCTATAATAAATGTCATATACGGTAATACACTATGGAGGATCTTTTGTGTTCTTATTGCATGGTCCATAACCTTATGAGTATATAAGCATATATACACTGGTGTCTGTCCGTGGAGGATAAGTAGGAGGAGGAGGAGCGAGCCTTTTTGGAGCCAGTGAAGTAACTTCTATTGTGGATAACAAGTAGGATCTTGGAGTGATTCAAAAGGCTTTTTGGCCCCTGCGGGTCGCAGGGGGAAGGTGAGCAGGGACATCAGCCATTGTAGGATTCTCACTCATCACCAGCACTGACAAGTTGTGCATGCTGTCTTGAATTCCACTTGGTCAAACTGCTGTCTTGTTGTGGACATTTGTCACCACACACTGTGTGTGTATATTGAAAGCACTGAATATTGTAATATTTGCACTATTATAAGAACTTGTATTATGATGTATATTTCACTATAGAAATCACTGAGTGATATAATCACCTAATATTTATGTTATATTGCATAAGTAATTATTTTGGTTCACAATAAGGTATGCATTTTTGGATATTATGTTTTTAAGTCTTAGCAGCGCTACACCATATATATATTGATTTATACTTGGACAATGTTTATTCAAGTGTGCCACTATTTAGACATTTGTACAATCTTGGAATCGGTGCAGGTGGCACTGTGCGACCTAATGTGTGCCCACCATTAGAAGTGGGTGGATGCAGAGTGGTATATTCTAATGGTGGGCATACCACACACGTTTTCTGGCAGAGATTTATTCTCTTTTTTTCATCCAGCCCACAGGCTGCATACAAAAAAAAAAGAACATAGCATATATACCCAACAAGGACCAGCGACATACCGGTACATCACTGGACTTTGGTTATAACAGGATGAGGTCAGGCACTAATGTTGGGCAAGAAGGCCTGGCTCGCAGTCTCCATTATAATTCATCCCAATTTAATAAGAGGCAGGATGAGTATTTTGCAGATCTCATTTTTTCTCACAAGGTTTTGAAATATAAAAAAAGAAAAGAAAAAATATGTTTTTGTTTTCTTTCTTCACTTTCCAAAAACTTGTGGCAACAAACAAGATCTGCAAAATACGCACCATGCTTTTTATCAAATTTCTTGGGTTGTCTACTTTCCAAAAAGGGGTCATTTGGGGGGGTTTGGTGGTGTCTTGGCATTTTAGGGCCTTCGAAACTATGATAGGTAGTCAGGAAGTGTAATGAGGAAATAAAACCCGAAGGTGCTTATTGGATTTTGCAGTCCTGTACTTGGGTAGACTGCCAAAAAGTCTTTCACGTGTGGTACCCCCATACTCGGGAGATGTAGCAGAATGTATTTTGTTGTGTGATTCCACATATACCCATGACTTGTGTGAAAAATATATAATTGTGTAAAAAAAAATGTTTTTGTCATTTTCCAAAAACTTTTGGAAAAAAAAATCTTCCATGGACTCAATATGCCTCTCAGCAGATAGCTTAGGGTGTCTACTTTCCGAAAAGGGGTCATTTGGGGGTGTTTGTACTGTTCTGGTATTTTAGCACCTCAAGAAATGTGATGGGCAGTCAGAAAGTAAACGTTATGTAAATTCCATTATCTATACCATAGTTTGTAGATGCTATAACTTTCACACAAAGCAATCAATATACACTTCTTGGAATTTTTTTTAACCAAAAACATGTAGCAGAATACATTTTGACCTAAATGTATGACGAAATTTGAGTTTTTTGGATATTCTTTATGACAGAAATGAGAAAATACAGTTTTTTAAAATTTTTTTTCAAAAATTTTTGTTTATAGCGCCAAAAATAAAAAGCGCACAGGTGATCAAATACCACCAAAAGAAAACTTTATATATGTAAAATAAAGGACGTAAATTTTATTTTCGCACCATATTGCAGGACTGCGCAATTGTCAGTTAAACTAGTGCAGCACTGTATAGCAAAAAAAATTGCGGAAATTGCAGTATCTATACCATAGTTTGTAAACGCCATAACTTTCACACAAAGCAATCAATAAACACTTATTGGGATTTTTTTTTACCAAAAGCATTTAGCAAAATAAAATTTGGCCTAAATTTATGACTAACTTTGAGTTTACTATATATTTTTTATAGGCGAAAGTAAAAAAATATAGTTTTTCTTCAAAATTTTCAGTAATTTTTTGTTTATAGCGTGAAAAATAAAAAGCACACAGATGAGCTATATCTGTGTGAAGAAAAGGACATACATTTTGTTTGGGTGCAGCATTG